GCTGCTGCAATTTTTGCTGCTTCTTCGGAGGCGTTTAATTAATAATAAAAATAGTAATAATTCTAATGAATACATATACTAACCTTCTGTTGCTATTACATTAAGTTATTTTTCTGCATATGTCATTCAGTAAAACATAAAACCATGGACAGTGCAAGCTATGCTTTCAATAGGTAGCAATAACTTCGTGTTATATCCTCATATTTGTATACCTAGTAACTGCGTTGCATTGTTCATAGTTAAATTTCTCGTAATCATACTTTCGTATATCTAATAAATTGAGATATCTCTTAAAGTGCTAATACGATGCTGATCAACAAAATAATAGAATTTTTAAATTAAATTTAGTTATTTATTGTCTTGAATGATGAGATAAAAACTGAAACTCATATCAATTCTAGACCTCATTAAATATTATTTAGAAACTGGAATAAATACTAGACAATAAAAGTCATTTATCTAAATTCTTCTTTTATTTTCCTATAATTTTGTTTTAGTACAAAAAACGTAGAAAAACAAACAAAATCGGGAACAAAATCACCTGTAACAAGTACATACTACGGGTAACTGTTTGATTATGAAAAATAAATGTTTTAGTTCTTATTTTTTTTCTAAATTCGTTTCAATTGATCACTAATACGACTTTCGATTTTAGGTAACATTTGTTGAATTTCATTAGCACAATTAACAACACATGATTCAAAACCGGATCGAAGACGATTTTCATCTTTATCATTAGTATCTTTGGCTTTATCTTCACAACTACGAATACATCGCATTAAACGTTCTTGCACATTATTCATTTCTTGACTCATTGATTGTTCAGCTTGTGTAATTTTTGATGAACATTTTTCAACACATTGATTAAATTTTAATGGGTCAAGTGATGGATCTTCTGTACAACGATATGAACAATTAAATGCATCACCCTACAAAGAAAAAAATGATTAGAATTATAAAGATATATCAAATATTAGTAAACATAAAATAACATAGTCCGTCTTGAGTGTACATTAAATGCACAATTCTATCTTGATTACAGAGATGGGCAACTTCGGGGGTAAGCGACTCCACTCCAACTCCGATGTCAGCTCCAACTCCGCTCCAAATCCATCGATTTTTTGAGGCCCCACTCACACTCCAGATGAAAAAGCGTCAACTCCAGAGTTAACCCCAACTCCGAAGGGGGAGTTGTCCATCTCTGCTTGATTACTTATGTACCAACAGAATTATAACAGAACCACTGGACAACAAAATGCAAATTATAATCGAACTTCTCACCTGAAAAGATATACAGTGTACTCAGTTTGGAAACAAAACGAATCCTTTCACCCTCGATCAACTTATACTGATTCTCGCGGAATATATATTTCCTCTTTAATCAATTTAACATACATAAATTCGTCGTAGATAATTTCGATGTAATGTTCCAGCCATTGTTGAAATAGCATCGTTTAATTTACGTTGTGAATCTTCCATAATTGAAAACGAAAATAAACTTTAATTAATCTAGAACTAAACAAAAACAGAATTATTTTTTTATTATTTTCTTTTTCTTTTTTTGCACGCCAGCTGAAATTCTTTTCGGATTTTGATAGGGTGCAATAATTTTTCCTGGAATGAAATTTATAGAAGAAGAAGAAGAAGAAGATTCTAATGATGGTTTATCACAACCATTAATTATTTGAAGAAGATTATCAACAAGATTTTTAAGTTGAGAATTTTCTTGATATGTTAATTTAAATCCTATTGTTGCACAATGTGGTATAGCAAATGTTTTTGTTAATATTGTTGATAAATTTTTTATACGAAGTGCTGGTATTGAATGCATTTGTGAAAGAAGTAGAATTGGTTTTGTTAAAATTAATGGTGTTAATGAATTACATACAAAAACTAATGAACATTGCTTTTGTTTTAAACTACGCATAACACAACGTAAACCAATAGCTAAATGTTGTTTAATCGGATGTTTTTTTATATCTGAAGATTTTTTTCGTGTTCGTTTTAATGAAATTTCTAAATATTCATCATTCAAATTTTCAGTAAGAATTGCTAATAGACGATCTTGAATATCATCTGGTATAGTTGGCCAATTATGTTGACCAGGTGCAGCAACGTAAACTTTCATCTTATGATTTCTTTTTTTTTCTCTTCAAGGAATAAAAATAAAAATAGAAGTATGCGGTATTATTGATAAAATAAAAATGAAAATTTTTCTCATCTTTTCATTAGTTTAAATAAAACAAGAACAACAACAACAATGATAATGAAGACAATAAAAAGGATAAATACACCGGTTGGTGAAAGGAATTGATCAGTTATTTGATGTATACAATTCCACAAGAAAAAAAGCAAAAGATTTATAAATCTAGTTATGATTCGGGACGGATAAAAAATGCTGAAAAAGCAAAGCATATAAAGACAATACCACCAACAAATGTCACTGTTTTTGGAGATATACGTTGAGCTACAAAACGACCACCAATAACAGCTAATCCCGTACATAAACCATGACCAATTGTACCACCAACTATAACACCAAAGAGATTCTCACTAGCCGCTAAAACAATTGTTGTTATTTGAGATCGATCACCCCATTCCTAAAATTATTAATAAAAACAAATTATGCAGACAAGCAGAAAATGAACTATAAATATTGTCTATTACTACAGGTACTTGTTACATTCGAAAATAGTTTTACAATATACTAGAAAAATCTATTGGGATATTTTGAATTCCAGAATTTCGCCAATACACCTTATGTAATCTCGCCAATGGCGAATATCCTGTTGGCGAAGAGACAGTCAGCCAGATATTTTTTACAGCTTTTAATGAAACGACTGATATAAGAAAAATGAGTAGGTTATTTATTACGCAGAGTAGTTTAAATGTCTCGATGAGTTAAATTCTCTTCCTCTCGTTTAAGAGTGTTTTGAAATTGAATACTTACAGCAAGAAAAGTCATGATGAATGCTTGAATAAGTATAGGTGATAAATAACGACGTAAAATCGATGTAAATTTCGTTAATGAATTTCGTTGTTTTGATGCAGATTGCAATCTTTGTTGTTGTTGATTATTTGTTGTTGTTCCACTACCTAATTCTAAATCTTCAGTAGCTTCCGCTTTCTCCACTTCATGTTGTACTTCTTCATATTCATCTGTTCCTTCATCTGGTGACATTATATATCCATCTCTTAACATTTTAATACCAAAACATGCAAATAATACACTTGATGCATAATATGTATAAATTCTTGGAACAAATTTTGTTACAATATTTCCTAATAATGCTGATAAAATAGTCATTGCACCAAGAGCACCCATTGCACCGATATAAATAATTAAACGTGGATGACGCATGGCCATAATAGCAGCTATAAAAAATGTTTTATCTCCTAATTCCGAAACAACAATAACAGACAATGATGCAATAAATGCATGAATAAAACCAAAATTTGCGCTATCTTGTATTTTTTCTTTTATTTTATCATGCCAATGATCTAATTCACTTGATTTTCCTTTCGAATCTTTATCCGTAAGAAATAATTTTGTTCCATTTGGTAATAATACTTCAGTTTTAGGTAAATGTTCTTTCTGATAATGATCATGTGAATAAAGATAAATTAATATAAGGAGAATTGAAAAGAAAATTGTTATAAGAATTAAAAATGGTCTTGATACTGCCAACATTCGGCGAAGCTAAATTATTTCAAATCAATTTTTATTAAATAAATAAGAAAAAAATGATCACGTTAAGTGTGCTCCAAATTTGGGGTTTACGGATGTCTCAGTTGTCGCAAAAAACTCTCTCTGAAAACTCTAATCATCTATTCTCTTTCTCGTACAGAAGAGTCCAGTGAAAATTAATCGTTTGCTTGCTTGTCTGTGGGCAGGGTCAAAAAAACATCGAATACTGATTTTTCAGTAAATGTGAAGAAGATGCATTTCCACGAGAAAGAGCTAAGCGAGTCGTCGGACGAGCGTTACTTGTTTTTAATTGCTCTAATAGATACTCTGGACCACACGAAGTCGACTGGTGATGCTCATGAAAAAAAGCCCACAGTTACAAGCTACAACTTGTCGAAAAACTTGAAATTTGAAGCTCACTTAACTTGACCGAAAAAACTTACTTTAACAAATGGATATAATCGAAAATTGATCATGATTTATTTACACAATAAGTCAGATAATACAAAAAGATGTGAATATTAATATTGAACAGAGACTAAAGAAATATTTTTTGTTTATCAATAATATTTATGAAATTAATCGAAGCGCTTACTTGCTTTTTTTTTAAATATTGAGAAAATCTATAACGTCATTGAAAAACAAAATTTATTAATCTAGAAAGAAATAGAATTCTCTATAGATTAGATATCACTTAAATCTTCATTCGTAACAATTTTTACAATATTATCAATTTGCATTAATATTTTTAATAATTCAATACTTGTTTTCCAAGCATCAAATTTCGAATCAAAATCATCAATAAGATTTTTTTCAAAATATTCATGATGATTTTTTATTTCTTTTATAAATATTTGTAAACATTCAAGAAAACAATCATATGCTAGATTATTCTCAAATGAATTATTATTATTCTCTCGTTTATCATACCAATATTTATATAATTGATTTTCAAATTCACTTGAACCATTTAAATAAATATTCTTACGAAGTATATGTCGAAATCTAGATAAACAATGAAGAAATTGTTCATGTTTTATATTAATTAAACTTTCTAATGGTACATATTGAAGTATCGTCGAACCCTTTTCAATAATTGTTAATGAAGGATCATCAGGAAATTCAATATAATTTAGTGATAAAATATGTTCTTGATTTAAATCAGTTATATAAGTTAATAGCGAATTTTGTCCAAGTAATCGAAGAGTTTTAACGGGTATATTTTCAATAAAAATTTTATCATTACATTCTTTTAATTTTTGATCAACTGTACCCGAACATATAATAATTTCAATGGAATATTCTTTTAATATTGATAGAATTAAATACATCCAAGAAGATTTTGTTGAGATTTGTTTTAATTTTATTTTATTATTATAACCGATATGTACATAGTCTTCTAAAAGATGTCCATCAATTAATATTGTTCGTCGATATCCTTGAATTGATTGATTTATTTGAAGTAGTGTACCTGGAATAAATAAGCATTTTTCTTCGAAATATTTGACACGTGTTAAATGATTGAGGTTATTAAAATGTGTTAATAATTCTTTATGAGATATTTGTTGATTTAAGGAATGAAAATATAAGTAAGCTTGATAGAGACTATCAGAATAAATTGTTTGATAACGACAAATACGTAAAATAATATTGGAATTAATATAGAAATTTTCACTAAATCTTTCCTCCGCAATTAATTTTGATTGGCCAATAAATTGTTCTAAATAATTGAAAATTTTTTTTTGATATAAATGATTATTTTTATCGAATAGTAAATGAAAATAATTAAAATATGTTGTTAAAAAAAATAATAATGTTTTACATGAACATCCATCATATTTATTATGAAATGTCTGTAATGTTTGAATGACTAATGAATGATATGGATGATTAATAGGAAGTTCTTCTATTAAACGGATTGGACATGAGAAATATTGAAACGATGATGAAGAAACCACACATTTCATACTAGTATGATCACATAATAACGATAGTACGATGGAATTTAACTGACATATATATGATGATATATTTTCAATTGCTATAAAACGACTCATCTAAAAAAAGAGAAAATGTGAGAATGTTGTATTTTGTTTCTAAAAAGAAAACGAAAAGTACTGCAAATGTCTGTTTGCGCACGAAAAATGACAGAAATAACAACAGCAAAGCTAACAACAATATAGAAAAACAACCAAACAAACAAACAAACAACGAGATATATACTCGAAAATGAAAAAAAAAGAGACTAAGAAGAAAGAGAGAAAAAAAGAAAAACAAAAGTATCACAATACAATGTTCAGTAAGCCTTTTTGTTTTTGGTTTTGTTTTTCCAAAACCGGTGCCAAAAATGCAAACAAATAAACACATATATCAATTAAAAAGAGAAAAGCAAAAATGGAATAAAGAAATGTTTTTGTTTGTTAGTTTTTTTATTCATCATAAAGTTCCGACATAATTAAAACAATAAGTGATGACCATCCTGTAAATGGATGACTACCTTGTCCATTGCCAGTCTTATCATCATATTGTTCCCAAATATGACCAGTTTTTTCATAAACACGAAACATATTTGTTATAAGATTTGTACGTAATTGACTATATATTTGACGAGCTTTATCAGAATATGGTCCGGATGTTTTTGCATAATGTTGTAACGATGATAGAACCATATAATTCATATTGATCCAAATAGCACCTAAATAAAATAAATATATACATTCGTGTTTATATAATTATTTCTTAATATAAAATTTACCTCTCCAATAAGGTGGATCATGTTCTGTATTTCTAACTCCATACATTACACTTGATTGAGCTAAAGATCTTAAACCATATTGTGTCCATAATAAACTAGGATTTTGTAAATCATTTAAAATTTTTTCAAGTTTTGTTGATTGTGGATCTAAAATACGTGTCATTAATGGAAATAATGAAACATAACCAAAATGTTTAACATATTTAAGATTTAAATCTGATTGTCTTGTTATTTGTCTAATCATATGTGTTGGTTGTTGTGGTTGATGAGGATTTGGTTTTTCTATTGGTACACGTTGTAATTGTACATGATCTGTATGTAAACCATAATCAGCATACATTCCATATTGTTCCGACCAATGTAATTGATCAAGTTGTTCATTATTTGAAAGTAATTGTGCATAATTTAAATATTGATTTGTTTGTTCATTATTTATTATTGAATAAAGTTTACCTATAACTGATGATGCTAATTGCATCCAACAACGTAAATCTAAATGACGTTCAGCATCTGTTGGATGTGATGCACGTGGATAATCATCAAGACCACTTGTTAATGTTTTAGGATTTAATTCATATATTGATGATGCATTACGACCACGCCAACGATACGATAATGGTATTGGACCATTTTGTGTTCGATTATACCATTGATACCATTTTTCAAGACGTTGAATAAATGGTAAATTAAAAAGTTGACTATTTGGAATTGTTTTTAATAAATAATCAATAGTTAAAAAGAATGTTGGTGGATTAGCATTACTTGTACGTTGAACAATAAATTCAGCGGGGACTCGAGCACGAGCTTCATTACCAAGAATAACTTCCTAAAAAGAAATGAGAGAATTATTAAGTTTATTTAATGTTATTATCTTAACGAGATACATATGTATTTCAAGTGTAAAGATATCTTTAGCGAAAATGTAATCGTTTTTATTTATGAAGAAAACTATTGCGACATAAACAACAGAAAAGGACAAAGTGGATACTATGTCTAATGGTTATAAGACATAATAAATCATTTTCTACACTTTGATAAAGAGCTTTTTGAGTTTAAATTTTGCGGGTAAGTAGATCTAGATTGCCCATTTCATATCGTTAAGCTTTCCAATATGGAGGTTTTTTTTAAGATGAAATATTTTAAAGTATAAAAATTTTCGTAACAAAATCCAGTCTTACAAACATCACACTAACAATATGTATTAGCACACTTTTTTTCGTGTCTAGTTGTATAACTATAAACTGTACAGGATCTTTATGCAATTTTCTCTATTGCTATTGGTGAACTAGAAATAGGAAATGGTACGAAGTAAGCTATATGGGATTATCTCGATAATCGAACAACCGATTGAATTCTTGAACTGAGCATATGCATACAAGTCAATGGAAGTGAACCCACGTTTTTTCAATCACCGTTTACACTATCAGAGCATTTCGATAGTGTAAACGGTGATTGAAAAAACTTTGGTTCACGAAAAGTTGGGTTCACTTCTATCGACCATGTATACACACATAATATCTCAAGACGATGAAGTAATAATGTTGCCAAGATAAGAGAAAAGGCAAGAGTGTTTTTAATTGAATCTAAATAATATGTGCAGATGTTCAACTCGATAATTTTAGATCGAAACTTCATTATACAAGATTTTTGTTACAAATAATTATAATTCGAAAGAAAAGCCTATTGGGAATGAATTCCCCATTGGGATTTTTCTAATCAATTTCTATGTTTCTTACTCTAGGTATCCATCCATTATCATTGAGCATATCAAACCAATGCGAAAGAATATCAATAGTAATATTTTTATTCCATCGAGCAATAAGAAGATTATGAAAACCTTCATCCCAAACAAAACCACGTGGAAAAAATGAACGTGATGGTACAGCTGTATATAAATTTGTTGTCCAATATTCATCTGGAACTTTTTGATTTGGTTTTGCTACTAATGATTTTCCTAGAAAAAACAAAATCAGTAAAATAAAATTTTATCATTAAAATTAATCAATTTTTTTGTGCTTACCAGTAAAATAAGAAATTCCACCAAGTAAATTACTTAATGCTGATCGAGCAAAATGAATTTTTTTTGTATCCATATTTTGTTTAGTTTTTAATTGAAATATATTTTCAAAACGTTCATCATATTGTTTTTGTAAACGGGTTATTTCTTCATTAAAATAATATCCTGTTAAATCTTGTTCACGTACATTATTGGATGAATCCGATTGATAGATAATATCAAATGAAAATGGTTCACTTGCAATTGGTTGTGTTAATGTTAATTGTATAAAAAATGTATTATGTTCAAAATCTTTAAATGGTTGTTCATTAAGAATAAAATATGGTTGTTCACGTGATGTTGAAGCTAATTTTGTTAAAATATTTTCATGAATTTTATCTAATTGAAATACATCAGTTAATGTACGAGCAATAACTTGATTTGAAGGTGTATTTAATTTGATTTTTATTGTAAAACCATCAAGTTCATTTGTTTGTCCACGAACAGTTAGCAGTTCAGGTGATTGATTTGAAATTGGACTTATTTCATCGATCCATGGGAGATCATGATGAAAATAGAAGAACAACGATATTGGTATTGTACGATTAAGAGACTAGAATTAAGAAAAATCGATTAGAATTTTTATCGAGCATAAATTCCTGGGTGTGTGATAATTCTCACGAAAAGCTGTAATCGTCAGCACTGATTCGAGCTTTATTGAGTGAGATATTATGGAGAGTGTGTCTTGTAAGGAGCACATACCCTCGGTCAAGCTAAGTGTGCTCCAAATTTGGAGTTTATGGATGCCTCAGTTGTCGCGAAAAACTCTAATCATCTGTTTTTGATTGCTCTAATAGATACTTTGGCCTGTACGAAGTCGACTGGTAATGCTCAAGAAAAACAAAGCGCACAGTAACAAGCTACAATTTGTTGAAAAACTTGAAATTCAGAGCTCACTTAACTTGACTCATACCCTCAAGATTTCTATCACTCTTCATAAAAACGGTAATTAAAATTCTGTCTGTGGTAAAAATTTCATGAAAACCGTGCGAATTATTACATATCTAGGGACTTAGGGGCAGTAGTGTATATGATTAAAACCTAGTGAAATGAATTCAGTAATACAATCTATCAATTCTTAGTACTGTGTTTTGTTTTTATGTTAACTGTTTGATTACATACTTGTGGAGTAACAGTAACTCTAGTTGTCCAATCTCCTCCATGATGTCCGCTAACTTGTTTGAGCCATTGAATATTTAATTGCAAATTATCATCAATAATTTGTTCAATACCAAATGTTTCTCCATCATGATATGTCCATCCATATTTTAAACGATCATTTTGATCACACCAATGTCTAAAGAATCTTATAAGTGAACAAATATAAGATTTATTCATTTAATTACCTAAGAAATCGATCATTTGATTGTTGTAATTTACTATAATCAAACCACATTAATCCTCCACCTAATGATCGAGCACTTCTATGTTTAACTCCAAAATATAAATTTGATCTTTACATAAAACAAAACAAAAAAATAATAATGAAAAAAAGACAAACAAGTTCTTTTTCTACTACCTATATGTTCCCCAGAATTGTTCTGGATTTTTCTCGGGTGTTGTATCATTAACATTAACAAGTTTAGGTAAATTTAATGGAACATTTGTATATTCATAATGACCACGATATTCCATAATAGTTAGAAAGACTCGATAGGCAGTAAATGATAATAAAATTCCAATAATAATTGCTACTACATACGATGGAATTGCAAATGGAAATTTTTTTTTCATTAAATTTTTAAATAAATAATCAAAACGTGATCGATTTGTTGTTGGGAAATGACGATGTTGATTTCTTCGTCTGGCTGCAGCAGCTGCTGCAACTATATTAAGATTTCCAGTTGTAGGTTCATTATTTATACTCGTTGAACGTTTACTATCGAGTTGCCGACGACGTTGCGTCATTTTTGCACTCATCTTCTCGTTTATTCTTTTATTTTACTTATACATCTAAAAATGAAACTTTTAGTTTATTCTTTTTTTTTTGTTACATATTAAAATACACAATAGTGTCGTTTTGTTTGTTTTTTTTTGTTCATTTCGAAAGATGTAAAAATTGCACAAACTAGCGCATTTAGAAACAATAAAACCATTAGCGAATAAAAGAGAGAAAAAGAAAATGCATCATCACCATAACAAGATATAGGAAAGAAGAAGTAAAAATCTCGAGATGAGATTCAATTGGAAGAAGAAGAATCTTTTGGAATATTTAAAATGTTTTACGATGAATTACTTTAGCACCTTCTGTATCATATTCACGTTTTGTTACCCAGATTTTTTTAAAGGTATCGAGTGAAGCCAGAATCGAACCACTATTGAAATGAAAGGAACATATTATAAGATATAAGAGTGATGGAAATAACTTACCCAATCCATGTTGAGTAGAGACGTTCACGTGGTGCAGAGATTTTTATTTTTACTTCTTTAGGTGCTATTCGTTTTAATTCACCAAGTAAACGATCACCAAAACCTAGAATTTAATAATACGGATGCAGTGAAACTATAAAATAATTGTCTGTAGGAATATTAGACAGAAACCTCTCCTACTGAGAACTAAGAGAAAATGAGCCCATAGACTTTTCTTCTGGCGTAATGAAAATTGATTTCGACCATGTCGAATTTTTAAATTTCTAACTAATATATAATTGCTTAGTCGTATTCGATGTCTTTCACCTTGAATTATGATGGTAATTTGTTATTGTTAAGGAACGAATGTTATAGATGTGAAATAACAACATATATGTCAGTTCTCATTATTTCCGATAGAACTGATTCAAGAAGTATAATAGTAGTTTTTTTCTTCGGAAGATTACTCAATGAACTTCTCATCAAAACTAGTAGATACTATCTTATTTATTAAGAAGAACAACATACCTCGAAACAGTGTAGATCCACCAGATAAAACAATATTTTGATAAAGTGTTCGTCGTAAATCCATATCGGATCTTTGAATTGAACCAGATAATATTTCATGTATACCTTCACATTCTTCTCCCATTAGTTCAGGATTAAATAGAACTTCCGGTGCTCGATGACGACTTGTTCCAAGCTACAAAATAATCATAATATTTTATCTATCAAATTATTTTCTTCATACTTCAATTGATGTTCCATCAGGTAATGTAAATTGTGATTTATCACCTTGACCTGTTTCATCTTTTTGTGCTGTTGGTGATAGAAAACAAGCTCGTTCTTTTATAGTTTTAACTATTTCAAATTCTGCTGTTGTTTTAAATGTATAACCTTCTTTTCTTAATAATAATTTTAAATATCGTGTTACATCTCGACCGGCAACATCATTTCGAAGAATACTATGTGGCATAGCAAATCCTAATAATTTAAAGAAAAAATTTGAAAGTATTTTCTCTCCAACTTAATTCATGCATAACAATGTTTCCAGTTGAGAAACACAAGTTGTTCTATTACCTTCATAAATTGGTACAGCATGAGTAACTCCATCTCCGGAATCGAGAACAACACCAGTAGTTCTTCCACTTGCATATCTAAATATATATTTACGTATGAATAATAAATAAAAAAACAATTTAATTAAAAAACTTACAAACTTAGAATAGCTTGCATGGAAATAAATAAAGCTGGCACATTGAATGTTTCAAAAAAAATTTCAGCTGCTTTTTCACGATTTTTTCTTGGATTTAATGGAGCTTCAGTTAATAATACAGGATGCTAAACAGGAAAATAATATTGTATTAAAAATATTTTTTTTTCTGTTAAATCAATATACTTCTTCAGATGCTGATCTTAATTGATCTTTTGAATAAACATATGTCCAAATTCTTTCCATATCATTCCAATCTTGTACAATGCCATGTTCCATTGGATGAGCAATATGTAATAATCCACGATATTCTTCCGCTTTAGGTCCTATAAATGTATCACCTTCTAAACCACCAGCCATAACACGAACATGTTTAGGTCGTCCAACATAATTTGGAAAATTTATTTTTGGAATTGGATCGCCGGCAAAACCGGCTTTGATCATTCCGGAACCATTATCAATAACAATCGGTTGATTTGTAATCAATACTTCATTATCCATTTTAGAGTTTTTCTAATCAACAACGATGTATTTTCTTTTCTTGTCTCTTTGTAAAGAAATGAAAAAGGCTCATAAGCAACCAATTGATAGATGGTTGAATAAACCCGTTTTTTATTCGTTGATAAAAATAACCAATAAATAAATCTCGTATTTGTCTTCTTTTTTTGTTACATTCATTTCAACACATTATTATCAAATATGTCTAATTCAATGTCAGGACAATTAAAACGTTTTGATGCTTATGCTAAAACACTTGATGATTTTCGTATTCGAACAACAAGCGGTGGATTTGTAACTATAATTAGTTCAATTCTAATATTTATTTTATTTTTTATTGAATTAAAATATTTTTTAACAACTGATATTGTACAAGTTTTATTTGTTGATACAAGTCGACAAGAAAAAATGAATATAACAATTGATATAAAATTTCCTGTATTATCATGTAATTATTTAACTGTTGATGCAATGGATATTGCAGGTGATTCTCAAACAGATATTGCACATAATTTATTTAAAACAAGATTACATCTAAATGGTAGTATTATTGAGAATGATATTGTTAAAATTTCACTTCAACCATTAATGAAATTAAATAGTACAAAATTAAATAATGAGAATATGGAAACAACAACGAAATCAGATTGTGAATCTTGTTATGGAGCAGAAACAGTCATACAAAAATGTTGTCCGACATGTGATGATGTTAAAGCAGCGTATAGAGTTAAAGGATGGTCATTTGATCCAAGTAAGATATTAAAAAATATAAAATTTTTTTTTTTAATTTGATTTTTTTCTCTTCAGGTGGTGTTCAACAGTGTATTCGTGAAGGAAAAACTATGGATACACTTAGTACTGATAATGTTGCATTGTTAAATGAAGGTTGTCGAATACATGGTCATTTAGAAGTTAATAAAGTAGCTGGAAATTTTCATATTGCTCCTGGTCAATCATTTCAACAGCATCATGTTCATGTTCATTCTTTAAAAAATTTACGTTTACATGAGCTGAATACAACACATTTGATAGATGAATTAACATTTGGTGAACGTTTTCCTAATCAAATTAATCCATTATCAAATACAAAACAAATAACAAATGCTCATGATAATGGTGCTATACTTTTTCATTATTATGTTAAAATAGTTCCATCTACGTATGTTTTTTTAAATCAAACACAATTAATAACAAATCAATATTCAGTTACAAAACATAAGAAAGCTATTACGAATCTATTTGATTCATCTGATCATCAATTGCCAGGAGCATTTTTTACTTATGAAATAAGTGCAATTATGGTTAAATTTGTTGAACAAAAACGTTCATTAGCACGTTTTTTAACGTCATTATGTGCAATTATTGTAAGAAATCATTTTGGCTTTTTTTTGTTAAATATTTTGATATTTTAGGGAGGAGTATTTACTGTTTCAAGTTTAATTGATGGGTTCCTTTATCGTGGTAGTTGTCTTTTACATAAACAAACTGAACTTGGCAAAGGAACATAGATCTGATCTAATCATCTACTTCTCATTTTTTTTCTATCTATTCTCTTCTCGCAATATTTATTTTTTCAATGATAAATATGTCTTCCTTTGTTTTGCATATTTTTTGTTGGTAGAATTTGTTATTTATCTTTATTGTTAACGTGAACAAAAAAAGAAACAGTTCAAATTATGATAACAATACCTGTAGGCTAAAAGATCTCATTTTTAGATAAATATGCGTTTTCGTCAATTAATATCGCCAACATATAAAAATTTATATGATGTATGTTTAAATCAAGCACCATTTTATCAGAATGAAATTATTGAAGGTATGTTGAATGATTAAATTCTTCTTAGCTGTTAATACTGAGATACTAGTTCGACATATTATTTTTTAAAGTCTTTCATATGTTATATATAAACAGAAACGCAACCTGATCATAATTATTGTCGACCATGGATTGATGATCCAACAATACCAACTGCACTTCCTCGTGTTCAACTATTTTTTAATTCCAATTCAATGTAAACAAAACTATTTTCTTTTTGTATTTTTATTTCATAAATATGTTTTTTTTCTTTTGTAGAGATAATTCAAATATTGATATTGACGATACCTTAAAATCAAATGATGAAAATATAGAGAAAATTAATTGGGCACCCACAATAAATACAATACTTCCTGAAAGTTACGAATGTCCACAAGAATCAGATGAAAATCTTACATCTGAACAAGAAGTTTTTGTTCAAAATATTCGTGAATTAATTAATGAAACACGAGTAGCTACATTATGTTGTGAATCGGTATGATCAAAGAATTCTATTCAAACGTTAAATTTTATATAAACTTTAGAATACTTGTGATGTTGTATATTGGCGTTTATCTATTCATAATATTGTAGCAAGACTCTATTCATTTCTCACTCGTCAATCATATGTAAATAATTTCTATTTAAACATTTCAAAAAAATAATTTCTCTATTTTAGTATGAAAATTCACTTGATTGGCTTCATGAATATTTATGTAAAACACTTGATCGAGCATCAATTGGTCATTATATAGATCTATTTCAAATACTTTATCATGAGGTTTACAAAAAATTCTTTTAATAAACTATTATTTTATCATATCGAAAATTTAGTATCCAAATATTCGTTCATCATTTATTGAAAAAACTAAATCTTGCTCATCAACAAATCTTTGTTCATATGTCTACAAGAAATTACTTCAAAAACCAAATGATCTTACGGAAGAAGTTATTTATAGTATAACTTTGGTATTAAAATTTCGAATAAAAATAAAAAGAGACTGATCTTTCCTTCTTTTTTTAGTCTCCATTATCAGTACCAACTGTTTGTCTTCTAATACCTGGTTTAGCTTATGAAGCTCATCTAGAACGTATTGAATTTTGGCAAAGAAATCTTTCTCAAATAGCAACAGTAATGCGATCGATAATCATTGAAAAAGATAATAAATCAGAACAATTACAAATTCAAACAGCTTATGAAGATATTATTACAAAATTTAATGAAGTAATTAAATAAATTCTTTAAAATAGAACAGAACATTGAGAGAGGATTCGTTTTATATTTATTTTAAGATTCGTCAACTCTATCCGAATCATCATATAATGTTCCTTGGTTGGAATGTTGGTTGTATACTTGCATTAAAAGCAGCACTTGTATGTTCTGTTTCATCAATTATCTGTATGTCTCTACCATATCTTGCTCTATCGGAAGAATCAAAAGTAAAATTTTTGCTTTGTTTTTTTTCCCAAATGAAAAAATATTTTAATAGAATGATTTTATGCAAATAAATGCATCGATTTTATTTATTACGGGTGAAAAACAATATTCAAATCAAATTGATCATTATCGTCAACGACTTAAATCTCGAAATGGTTTAATTGAATTAGGAGGATGTAATGATACATTATCAATGTCGGAAGATAGAAAATATCGTTTTCGTTTAACACAACAATTAATTGATAAATTATTAATGGTAGATAAATTTTTAGGAAAGAAGGAAAGACTTTTATTTTATTATTTTAGGAAGAAATTCTTGATTTTATTACAATATTATCACCAAAATTAAATCGAAATATTTCGGAAGATATCGATGAAAAAAAGAAATCTGAACGTGTCAATTCTGGTACATCAACACAAATAGAAGATTCTGGTAAATTAAACCTTGGCTTTTTTAATATATATATATATGTATTATTGTCGAATAGATGATCCATTTCTTTATATGGGAATAAATTCGAATAGTAATACATTAACAACGTTAACTATTCCACCTGAACAAGATCCAAATTCAATATTTTTAAATACTATTCTTCCAACTACAACAACAACACGTAAACGTAAAGGTTCAAATTTAGTAAATCCACTTGACAAAGATCGTTCATCAATGCCTCAAACATCAAATCCAACTGGTTCAAAACGAGGACGTCATAAAACAAAAAATTTACCTACATCTGATAATATAGAATGGACATCAAATACGGAAAAACGTCCTCCTAAAACAACAACTAAAAAACCTAAACCATCAATGCCACCAACAGCAACAACCAGCATATTAAATACATTATTACAATTACCATCAAATCAACCAAAACAACGTACAAATGAATCAAATCTCATAAAACCTATTCATCAACCTCCATCATTTGTTAATACTGTACTTTCTTCCTCAAATCCTTTTGTGTAGATAAAAAGAATGTTTTTTTTTGAAAAAAAATATCTAGATTAGTTTTTGTATGTCATGTATATATTGATATATTTTTCAGATGACACGTCATTCGAAAAATTCAACAGCAAATGCTGTTTATACTTATCATGAAAAACATAAAGATTCATCAACAGGTGGTTATGGTACAGCACAAATGCGTATGAGTAAAGATTCTATTAAAGAATTTGATTGTTGTAATTTAACATTACAACCATGTCGTGATCCGGTTATTACAAAAGATGGATATTTATTTGATAAACAAGCAATACTTGGTAAGAATTTATTTAATTTTATATATTTATTCAATGTTTGGATTTAGAATATATTATTCATCAGAAAAAACTTAATGCTCGTAAGATGCGTGAATATCAAAAACAACTTGATCGTAAACAACAAGAAATTGATGAACAAAATGCAAATGATCAACAAAAGAAGATAAATAAATTTTTAGAAAAAGAAGCAACATATTCAGTTAATCAAACGGTTAAAACTCTTCTCTCATCAAAACATCAAGATCAACCATTATCTTCATTTCTTATAACACCAAAATCAATTGGATCAGGAGGTACAACATCAACACGAGCATCAACAAATAATGATAATGATGATGATGATGACGATGCTGTTGTTACTGCAACACCAGCATCAACCGCATCATTAAAAAAACTTAGTAATATGGAAGGAACTCAAGCAACGCAATTACCAAGTTTTTGGATTCCATCATTAACACCTGCTGCGAAAAAAACAGAGCTAAAAAAACCAGATCAACATGTCTACTGTCCCATATCAGGCAAACCTATAACAATGAAAGATGTTATTGATGTTAAATTTAAATTAGCAAATGATGTTGATCCAAATAAACGACCATTAGTTGCTGTACGTGATCGATATGTATGTGCTGTTACTGGTGATTTACTTGGTAATTCTGTACCATGTGCTGTTTTACGAACATCGGGTAATGTTGTTACGATGGATTGTGTAAATCGATTGATTAAATTAGATATGCTTGATCCAATAACAGGTGTTAAATTAACCGATAACGATATTATTCCAATGCAACGTGGTGGCACTGGTAAGATATTTTGTTTTGTCTTGTATTTGAAATAGATTTATTATTTGATTTTTTTAATTTAAGGATATTCGGGATCTGGAGTACAACTAGACGCAAAATTACCAACACCTGCTATGCAGTGATTATTGTTTTTTGTGTGTAAATGAATTTATATGTATTTGTCATTTTTTTCTGGTCTTCTCAATAAATATAAGTTTCATTAAACTAGCAATTTTTGCACATTCGATTAAATCAATTCGATCTAGAATACATTCCAAATACTAACACCATCTATTATGAATTACTAGCGACATATATATATTTATATATTTTCTTAGTGACCTCTTTTCTATGATACGCATACGTCGGTTATTTTCTATTGGATTTTTATCATCACACACGTGTACGTGTTCTCAGATCCATATTTTCTCACCACCCTCGCCAACTATCTACAATCCTTCAAATACGAATTGATTCTTAATAGATCATACATTCATTCCTTAGCTATTAACTAATCATGCCAGCTTCACCTAGTGGAACAACTGTATGTAGTTTTTTTTTATATTAGTATTCAATAAATATATATTATTTATTTGCATTTGAATAGGTTGGTAAAGGAGATACCGGTAAAGCTGCAGGACCACGAGCATCAGCTGGTGGTGCCGGTCTTCGTCAACGTAAATCAACAACAACAACAGCAGCCCGTAGTCGACCAGGTGCTGGCGGTGGTGCAAGTGCAGGTGTATGGCGATTTTATACTGAAGATTCACCAGGTCTTAAAGTTGGTCCAGTACCTGTACTCGTCATGAGTTTAATCTTTATTGCAAGTGTATTTATGTTGCATATTTGGGGAAAATATACAAAATAAACGTGCAATATAACATCTATGGGAATGATTAACAGACACTTGTTATTGTTGTTTTTATCTTCTGTTAGCGTTTTTTTTGTCATGAAAAAATATATATTGCGACATATATGATCGATCTTCGTGATTGTATTTATTTCGTTTTGTTTTAGTATAAAAGAAAAACAAATGAATTTGTAGAACGTATTATTATTTGAAACAAATTTTTTCATTGATATATTACATCTAATCTATAGCTGATTAATTTCATATCAGTTTTTTGTTTATTCTAGAAAATATAACATAGTTTCAATATGAAATCATTCATACAGAATAATCAGACACAAAAAAAGTAATACGTAGAGTAAACATTAACCATAGCCTTAGTAATTAGAATATACAGACCATACGAGTAATGATTAGAACAAGAAATAGAGGCGTAGTCAGAGTGAGATGCACTCCCCTTTGACCAAAAGAGCAAAATTCCTCGCTACGCCCCCTGATAAGGAATGCTTTTAAAAATAATGCCGCGAGGTGTACATATTTGATTTTGACTGACATATTCCTTTTTCTTAAATGTTCATTATTGTATTTATTTCTATATTTTCAACTCTCATCCTAAGAAATAAACTAATTGTCTGGAATTTTCTAAATATATCTAACAAAAAACAATATCTTATGATTATAATAATAATGGACGAGAATATTTTAGTTCGACATATAAAAAGAAATTCATTTGTCTTAAGAATTTCATATGACTTCTATTATGATAATATAAATAAAAATTTCTATTTGTCTCTGTGCTTAGAAGATTATTATTATGATAAAGAATACATTTTTTTTTGTCTTATATAAAATTATTAAATAGATAATAATTATCAATCCACAAGACTTATGTTTTTATGATAGTATGGAAAATTTTCTATGAAATAATATGTATTCTTTGTAGTTGTTAAGTTACGATAATTTTACTCGTATATTATTTTTACATTAATTCTTGTTTTCGATGTAAAAATGTTTTTATTTTTCTCGTAATTATACAATTGAAATCTATTAACATGTGCATAAATCCATTAAGTGTACGCTTGTTTTAGTAGAAAGTTGTTTAGTTAATTTCTTAATATGTTTTTTAACTTCAACTGTACGAATAGGTTGTCTCGATGCTGCTGATTCCCATCGTCCTTCTTCATCTTGTAAAGATGTATTTGATCGAACAATATTTTCAACGGAATGTAATTTTGTTGGTACTTCAGATTTATGTACATCAGAACATGTATCCATTAATTGTTGAAAACGTGTATCACCTACTGTAGTTCGAGTTCTATCAGATAATAAAGAATTACAATTCGAGAAATCTTCGATGTCACCAAAAAGATCTTTGACAGTTATTGGTTGAATATAATGTGAACGAACATGATCTTGATTATAAATTGGACGACCTCTTGGTTGAGCTAAACGATTAATTCGTTCAGTTGATTGTTGTTGTCGTATAGATTGAGGTTTAACAGGAATCGGTTGAAGTATTTCAGGTTGTTTATTAACAGATCGTGATGTATGTGGTTCAAATGATGACATTACTGATTGATCAATTTTATTTAATGCAACTCTTGATGATGTTAAACTTCGACTAGTATTAGGAATTGATGGTTCAATATATCTAAATATATCATTATAAATTTTGAAAAAAAGCAAGAATTTTATATATATCTACGGTAAAAGTCCGGGCATGGCACTTTCTGCTTTAACTTTTTGATGATGTAGAAAAGTTTGTTTATCAAATTCATGTCGATTTATTGTACGATAACGCGCTGTTGATATTTTAAATAAATCGGAAAAGAATTTTCGATTAGCAATAGCATTTCTTTTGATATCAGGTGGCATTAAACTTGCTCTATCATTGACTTTTGCTATTGAAATATCTTTTTGCATCCAACCAGTTATTTCTACTGGTATTCGTCGTGGTGGTGGCGATGCTGCAGACATGTTTTGTTAAAGAGAAATAATTTTAAAATGTTTGATGTATAAAAAAACAATTTTCTTCTTTTTTTTTTCAATAATCACATGTACATTAAAAGAAAAAGTAAAAAAGCATGCTTATGTTATTTTTTCTAATCATAAGAGGTCATGTGTTAGACCAACAACAATTTAAAATGACGTTCACAACCATTTTCATTTGTTTTCAATATTCTGAAAACGAAGAAGAAAAAAAATATGTTTGTTTTCAGTATTTTTTTTACCCAATATAATGCTTCTCTATGTATACATAATGTTTTTATTCTAGATAAGCAATAATATACTTAAAATATTATGATTTCATCAGAATAAATAAATTCAGCAGTGACAGTTATTATGAATATATATATTTTATAATTAGTCCGGTAGTAGAAATTTGCTTACCGAATGACCTATATTATTATTTTAGAGTCTACAGAAGATTTAACGAATTCAGTAAAGATATTAAAACAAGTATTAGACACTTATATGAAAATGAGAAGAGACTCTTGAAATATTTGTTTAAATAATAATCTTGGATAGAATGCTATGTATTATTTTTTTGAGTATATTCATCATCATCATCATTCAGACTACTTTAATTGAAAATGTTTTTCAACAACTAAACAAGGTTGTTATAGATACAATACAATTATTCTTCCGAAGGCGTAAGAGACAAGCGGTTGGTGTTTGAACAAACATTCTCATCTACTCTCATTAGAGAAGTTATTAAGCTGAACATTTCAATGTACTATTTACATATATATCAAAGGCACTATCGGATCGTTTGTCTTATCAGTAATTATGTGATAGCGACATCTAACAAGTCAATGGTATTAAGTATTTGCATTCTAAATCTACATAAGAGAAATTATGCCGTTCAGCTTTATACATAATTCTTTTTTTTTATTAAAACTTTTAATTTGTATTCATTCGTTGTTACTCTCTTGATAACACATTGTATATCTATTCAAATAGATACCCGTAGCCTTCATAAAAAAAGAAATTTGTCTGTAGTTAGATAACAGTGACTTTTATGGCAGACCGTGCGGTAGACAGAAAATATTCTTTTATTGATGAATTAACATCAGCATTAGTATCTTTACCATCCTATGAAAATGATTTAACACAGAAATCTGATGAACCTGCTGTTTTTGATGAGGAACAAGAATCATCATATGGTTTAATAAATTTAATACGACGAAACTCTCTGTTAGATGAAGCAACAATAGACACTACTAATACCGTAATTATTTTGAGATTTGTATCATTTATTTTCCTTAATTATATATATAGACTGAAATAGATGATTCACCGAATTCATATCCAATTGATGATTCTAGTGATGATACAACTAAATCAACACCAATAACTACAAAAATCAATAGTATAGATGAAAGTCTTAATCGTGATGATGCTGAAGAAGTAACTATGAAGCTGCTTCGAACTCCAATTAAACACGTATTTATATTAAGTGAAAATGGCAAACCAGTATTTACAAGGTTAATTTTTTTGTATATTGTTTTACGATATTTACTTATATATTTTTAGATATGGTGATGAAGATCAATTAGTAACTTTAACTGCTGTTATGGAAACACTTGTTTCATTTGCTGAAATAACACAATCAAGTCAATTAAATTACTTAAAAGCTGGACGTTGTCGTATTGCATTTTTACATAAAGAACCATTAATATTCGTTTTAGTAACACATAAAAACGAACATTCAATATGTCTTCTTCAACAATTAACATATATATATCATCAAATAATAAGTACATTAACATTAAGTCGTATAAAACAAAAATTTATACATCAACCGAATTTTGATTTACGTCGTTGGTTATCTAATGCAGAAAAAAAATTATTAAATAATATTATGGATATGTACGAACATGATTTAGGTATGCTTATGACATCAGCTAGATGTTTAATTTTACCAGCAGGTACACGAAATCAAATTGGACATACAATTGCACAAACAATACGAGGACAAAAAGTAACAATTTGTTTATATAATAACGAATGCGACAGAATAAATATCTCTGACGTATGTACGTGAATTTTGTTCGAAACCATCTTGAGGGTATAGGCATTTTATTTCATCCACATCCACCCAGTGGCGGGTTTAGGCGGGAGGTGATGGGGTGACCGTCCCCCTCCCTTCAGACGATTTTTTACAGCAAAAGTGAACAAAAAACTAGGTTCACACTACTTCGATTGGACTCAAAAAATAGTTTTTAGCCAAAATCGCACCCCCTCCCCAGGTATCGCTCCCCTCCCTTCCAAAATCCTAGACCCGCCATTGCACCCACCCTTGAGTATAGTTCCATAGTTATCTTCTCGAAAAAAATTCGCGGACATATATCAAAATATCGAAAACGCTATTTATTCTATCGCATCCGTTATTTCGAAATTTCTATAAGATAATATTTAGGATATGATATTTGCAATCACACTTGCTCATGGTTATTTAGTTACAATAGCACGTTTAAGAAATTATCATTTACATCCATCTGATTTATATTTACTTATTAATCTTGTTAATAGCTCTGATGCATTTAAAGGTGTTGAATCATGGGTACCTGTATGTTTACCACGATTTGATACAAGGTATACAATTATCTTTATATATCAATTGATAATATAAAAAGGTTTGTTTTAGTGGTTGTCTTCATGCACATATATCATATTTAGATGATACTTGTGATGTATGTCTTGTTTTATTAACAGTAAATCCTGAACATTTTCAAATTCTTTCGAATTTTAAACAGACGATTTATGAAGTAAAACTTTTTCTTTAAATAATTTTTTGTTTAATAATTTTTGTATTAGAAATTAAACAAATCAAATTTAATTCCACAAATCAAACTTGCATTAGACAAAGATCGTCTTTTATCGGATGAAATAGCTTGCAATGATTTACGATATTTTGCTTATAAATCACGTGGTTTAAGTCAATATACATCATCAAAATTATTAAAACCTTATATTACGAATGAAGAACATGTTCGATTATTTGAAGCAATTCGTTTTGTTTTTGCTCGTCTTCATGATCCAAATCATCAATTAAAAATTGTTTACTATAAAACAGAATATGAATCATTACTTGGATGGGTTTGATCAGATATACTAATTGATTTTATTTACATATTTATAGATATTATTTATTTTTTTCTCTTTAGTTAGCGCCAGGATTTGAACTACATGTTGTATTTTCACCACTTGTTTCATTAGAAACAGTTATTCTATGTGCGGATCGAATATTATCGTATATAAGACGTGAAGAAAGTCAGTTATTTATATTGAGATGCGAATATTTTTGATGATATCATTTTTATCTTTTATTAAATATTTGTACTTTTAATTAATTATTTATTATTTTTTTTTGGCCAAAAAATAATTTATATAAAATTAATTATTATTCTTATCAAGATACATACTTGTTATTTAAAGAGAATATAAACATAACAAAAAATTGTTTTAAAAATTATATCGTTCGATTAATTTGTTAGATAAGAAAATAATTGCGTAATATATTTAATAGTAATGTTTTTCGTTTAACGGAATAAGATTATTAATAAATATATATTTTTTGAGTATCTTAAAAAATGATAATAAAAGAAAAAAAGAAGTTTTACAAGACTAAAATCAGACCATGTTTTTTTGTATTGAGTTTTTTCGATTCAATCTAACTGTCTCAAGGTAGAAATCGATTCACTTTTGATAAAATTCAAGGATGCAGTGTCTGACGTATAGATAAGATTATTATGTATGGTATATTAGATCCATCAAATAGTATGACCTTAAAATTTTAACTATATATGAATCTTTACACAAATTATTCTATTTGGATTAACATTTTTTATATCAAATTCATGAACTGTTTTTATAATATCTCATCTAATATATATGTTGTTTGATAGTATCATATATATTTATTTTTTACTATATGATCTATTGTATAAGATAGAATTTTTTAGATTAATCAATATTGTTAATTATGTAAAATAAAAATTTTAAGACTAATGAAGGTTAAAATACTTGTCCTTCTTAATAAGATATGTATGTGTAAGTTATTTTATCGATTGTACTTTATTGTTCGTTTTTTCTCTATTTCATTCAATAAATCAATCGACATTGAACATTCACATTTGAGTGAAAGGATCGACTATCTCTTTTAATGTTTCTTTGATTGATTTAAAATGGATATTGTCACAGTGATAAGTGTCTTCACGACGTCCTTCAATTATCAATCAGGTATATGTGTATACATGTACTAGCTCAATCGAATAGCCTTTTCTTTCGCTCTTTTTTTTTATTACAAGACGCGACATTTTTTTTTGATGTAGAAGAAAAACGAAGCGAAAAAAGAGGCATACGCGATTCAACTTCGTTTACAAGCGTTGTTGCGACACGGTTCATCTATCTTCATTTACTTAGAAAAAGGGCCGTTCTTTTATCATCATCATCATTCAACAGCAAAAAAAAGAGGCGAGAAGAGGACAAACGTTTAAATTTTCATCTATCTAACCCACTAATCATGCAACAAGTTTCGCCAGCTATTATTCAAACACGTTATCCGCCACCTTATCATCAATATCCAACAATATCAGTAGGAAGTCCTCAATCATTAAAATCAATTGATACGACAGTATTTGGACCAAGTGTTCCACCATTAAAAAATTCAAAATTATCAAGTCATAATGCTAATACTACTACACATAGTAGTAACAATAATACGAATAGTTTCATACCAGAAGTTGATTTACGTCGTTTAATATTATTTAATTTACCTGCTGATCTTGTTCAAGAATATCTCGAACTTTATTTAGAACATTTATCTGGTGAAACTGAAATTGAACGAATTGATTATTCAAATCTTGAAGATACGACAGTTATGGTGACCTTCAAAACTGAACTTGGTTCGTGTCTTAAAAATTGACAAAATAAAAAAACATAGGAAACAATTTCTTCTTCTTTTTTTTTCTATTAAGATATGAATGAAGTTCGTCGCCGTCATGGTACTCGATCAAAATTAAACAATAGTGAAATAACATTAGCTGAAGTTATAGCACCAGCAACAGTGATGATAAGAAATTTACCATCGGATATATCACGTGATGTTCTTGAATTATATTTTTCAAATCGACGTCGTAGTGATGGTGGACAAGTTGTTGATGTTACACTTGATAAAGAACATCAACATGCACTTGTTACATTTGCTGACTATAAAGGTTACAAAAACGCATAAATTTTGTTTGTTTTATTTTTCAAGATATTTAGATGTACGACGAGTTATAAAACGTGAACATTTAATACATAATAATCGTCTTGATGTACGAATATTTTATGCACATATGGGTGTTGAACCATTTATTGATGCATCAAATGTTGGAAAAAAACCTGATCCAATATGTTATCGTGGATCGGATGATAGTCGTTATGCATTCTTATTAAAAAATCGTCCATTACTTGATGAACTACGTGATCAATTAAAAACAATTAATGGTCATATTAATTTACAAAATGAAGGTGTTATTGAAATAAATTTTACTGATTTACGTTTAACAGTTAAACGTCGTTTAAAATGGGCAAAAGATATTGAAAAATTAGTTGAACATTTTCTAACTGAACGTCTTGTTGTTCATAAAGTACCATGGAATAATAATAAAATACCACAAATTACATCGGAACAACTTGCTGAACTTTCATTTAAAGATAATACACGTTTAATGCAATTAGCACCATCTGGTACACAACAAGATCATATTATTGTAACAGCTATAAAAGAACATTTAGATCGTGCATTAAGTGAACTTACTGATATGCTTACAACTCGTACAACAACAAATAAAAATCATATACCTCTAACTGATGCTGTTTATCGTAGTAAACCAGTAAGTGCAACACGTGATCCAAAAGTAAATAATCATCGATCATCATTACTTATTCGATCAGCATCACCAGCCAAACAAAATTTCAATAATATTGAATTACCACCACCACCTGCACATGTACCACCATCAGTTGCAATTATTGATGATAGTCTTGAGAATTTACGTTTATTTCAACTTGATCTACTTGCAATGCGTTTTATTGAATTAGCTCGACGTACTTATGTTAATTTAACGATTGATATTGATCGAACAGAACGACGTATTGTTTTACGTGGTCCACTTGATCAAGTAAATGTTTGTAAAACATATTTTGAATCAATACTCAATGGAATTGTTCATAAACATTATAGAATAGGAAAAGAAATGGCTGTTTTCCTATCAAATCCTGATACAGGTAAACAAAAAAGATTTTTATTTCTGTTTTCATAAAAAACAAAATTTTTCTTTTTCAGTTGAAATAGTTGTTGATAATTTAACACGTGCTGATTTTGTATGTGCCTATGAAATTGAACGTACAGCTGATCATCATCGACGTAGTTCAGCTTCGCCAACACCAACAATGAATGGTCATGGTCTTTTAGCAAACAATAATCATCTTAAACTTGTTTTATATGGTTTATCACGTGAAGGTTGTGATCGTGTATATGAATTTCTTCGTCAAGATATACGTGTTAGTTCAATAATGTTAGATAAAGATGATAAACGTTGTTTAGCAAGTGACTCTTGGCATTCATATGTACGTGATCTTTATGCTAATCCAAATGGTTTTCGTCGACGACGTGTTTTATTACAAGTTAAACAAAATCAATTAACATTTGTTGGTTTTGGACAAGATGTTGACGCTATGCGAAAGCAAATCTATGATTATTTTGTTGAAAATGCTATATCATTTTATGAATCAGACTGACTAATTTGCAACGAAAATATAACATAAATAAAAAGGAAAACAAAAAGAAAATTTTTGGTTTTTTTTCGTTGTATTTCAAAATGTAGAATTAGAGAAAATTAATTTTAAAATTTTTGTTTATTGAGAATTATCTATATGTGGTTGATAATCAGCCGCAAAAAAATACTAATGTATTTCAATCTAAAAATTCGAAAATTTTATTTTTATCATTATCTATAGTATTGAAAAATGAAAAAGTTATCTTTTATATGACATATATAATTTGTTCTAATAGCTTCATGTCATACAACATCACTATCACCTTCTATTGATTTCTTTTTCGATACAAAAGAAAATCGTTAATTATAAAAATATTTTAATAGTATTTGACAAGTGAATGCTATCGGATTTTTAATGAGTCAAAATTTTTATAATTACTAGTCTGAATGATGAACGTATGAGAGCGTTCATATTCATGATGATTAAAGAGTTATTTAACCTTGACCTTGAAATGAAAGTCGGAATAGTTTTTTTTCTTCTTTTTCGAATGGTTATATTAAAATTAGAGCACATGATTATTGATGAGGAAGTGAAATTCTAAAGTGATCGTTTTCTATACAAACAGACTTTTTCTTGGTAATTTACTGTAGAAAATATCACTTATAAAACTTTTGACCTTTCATTTTCTCTAACGACAGCCATTGAGATATTGTCCTTCGATATATCAATAATGTCGATCAATCACATTTTCTACGGCAATAAGCAAACACTTGGATATATCTACTACTGATAGAGTCTGTACTTGTTATTAAATGATCATACGTTTAAACATTAATCAATCCTGATTTTTCACCTTCATACGAATAGTATGAAAGGATATCATACAGTTACAATCAATTATCATAAAAAATAAATATACAGTTCAACTATTTAAAAAAAATTCTGTTCTTGATTTTACTCCTATTATTTTTGAAGAATCAATTATAGTATCAGTGCACTTCCGACACTTTAAAAAATCAGCATGCTCTGACAAATTAAAGAAAGTATGAAGGCACCTTATCGAATAAATCTGCTCTACCATCTATTCTCCCTAATACATAATATACACATGGTGTATTCTTAATGTCAAACTGAAGACATCAGTTTGAGAAAAAATAGATAGTAACTATTAAATATTTTATTTGCTTAACATATTTCATTATTTTTATTCACATTTTCTTTTATTTTCTTTTGTATATTTCGTTCAGTAATAATTCTTGATATTCCAAGTACAACAACACTACATATAACAAGAGCTGAACCAATTAATGCATAGAAATTTGATTGTACTGATGTAAAAATATTTTGTAACAATAATGCAAAGATAATATCTGCTGAACCAAGTAATGAATAAACAGCTGGATGTTCACGTTTAATACTTTTTTGTGTAAATATACCTGCAGAAATTGTCAGAACACAAACAACTGCTGCTAATAAAAAACGCCAAGATAAAAAAGAAATCCATGAAATAGTTAGTTGAATATAAAATATTTTATAGAATTGATTAAGAATAAGTATAACTAACATAGCTAATGCAAATTGAAAATTTAATACACTTGTTTTAATATCTGTTGATGTTGATATAAGTTGTTTAAATAATAAAACATTAATTGCTGATGTTAAAGCAGCACCTAAAGCCATTGCATAACCAAGTATACGAAATTTATCATCAATATTTTTAACTAACGTCGGTTTTGATGTAAAAAGAAAATTTGGTTGAGTAACAAAAATAACACCAAGTAGAGTTAATGGTAAAGCTATTAATGTACCTGTTGATGGTCGTTCACGATAGACAATAACACTAAGAACAACTGTCCATACTACTCGTGTATAACTTAATGTATTAATATCAGATAATTCAATATAACGTACAGCAAGACAAAATAAAACAAATCCGAGGGCACCGGTACCAGAACAAATAATTTGTAGGCATATTTGCCATATTGTACCACCAAGTAATGTATAATGTTTATTTAAAACAAACGACAATACGATGATTGTTTGTACAAAAAAACGTACTAATAATGCATCAAGTAAATCAACACCCAATAGTTTTATAGTGAATGTTCCAGAAACAAAAATAAATGATGAAAGTAATGAATATAAAATACCGGAAAAACGAGTTATCCAATTAGATTGTTTTGTTAGATTTTCGTTAGTTAACGATGGTACATGCAGAAGTGGATCTGTTGATGTTAGATTTGGTTCGGATTGTTCGTCAATTAGGGACATAATTTTAAAGTATAACTTATCACAAAATACAAATCTAATTGTATTTCATAGTTTTTTAAGAGTTATCGATAAGTCGTAAAAAAAACCGAACTCATTCTTTTTTACGATATACATGTCAAAAGAAAAGACGCTAATCGTAGAGGAAAACAGATAAATAATTTATAGAGATACTCAAACCGATTATTTATGATTTAAAACGAAGCTCACGAAAGAAAAAAAATCAAGGAATACATAAATTAAAATGAAAATACTTGTAAATATCAGTGGAAGCATTGATTAACATTGGAGAAGATAGTTTTTTAACAAGCAAAAAATATAATTGTATAGAAAAACATATGGTGTTTCATGATGGTAATTATCAGAATGTAAAGAAGTTTTCTTTGCTTGTCCTAGATAAATATGTTGAGATCCCATTGTAAGTATATAAAAGAAAGGAAATTTTTCTAAAGAGTTTATATTATCGATTATAGTACAACGTTTTTTTTTAATAAACTGAATGACAAATATAAGCATTTTACAATTGACTTCATTCGGTCGTCTTAACTAATAATATATTCGGTAAACATTATACAAATGCAAAACTAATTTTTCTATTCTATCGTATTGCTAAATAAAATTGATTTCCACTTATTAAACGGAAACTCTTTTTTACCTTAGATGACATTTATATTTGAAGTGTAAATATCGATTTTTATTGAAAATATTAGAAGTATAGTTGAGTTTAGTAATAGACTATTCCTTTAGTTTATTTTAAATAATTTTCCTGAACTCGGATTTGAAAGAAACTGAATATGTTTAAATTAAATTTACAATTTGCATAATAATGGAAAACTTTTTGCCACTTGAATCAACGTTGATCATTATTTATTCGAGCATTAAAATATGCAAGTAAAAATAGTATTTTCATTATATTTATGATATTTGTCTGTTTTGAAAATTTAAAGTTATTCAAGTTTAATACATATAATGCCAATATTTTTTTGAAATCTGATCTCTGATAGTCTTTAATGCGATGCGAAGCAAAGTTAGGCGTCATTTTTCTCTACCAACTGTCTCACAGCTGATAATATGAGTAGTGACACTAGATATACATATAAGCTAACTACCTTTATATTTTGAGAATGTGGGCGCATGTGAGTAATTAGAATATATATGATACCCTCACACCCTAATCCTAGAACTTCAGATATGTTCAAGTGAATAAATTATATAAACGATTTGATTTATAAATCGATGGTTTTTTAACGAAAGAACAATGTGTAAATATCTACTATAAAATTAATTCCATTGTCTAATGTTTTGTAACACAAATTTCATTTTATTTTCTAAAACTAATTCATAATTTATTTTAATAATTGGTTCAAACCATTCAAAAATACTGATCATCATATGTTTTTCGTTCGTAAATATTGATAGCTTTAAGCTCAACATAAACATAATCTCACGATAAAATACAAATATACTTTATAGAATCCACTTATTTTCTGTCTTTTATTGATTTACTCAAACCAGATAAATAGAAATATTATAAATCAATTTTTTATTTTAAAAATTGGATGATATCGAAATGTCTTCAATAGATTTTTCTAATCTATATGCTGATACTTGTTAATGATTTTTCTAAAACGAACAATCATTTGTGAAACTGACAAGTAAAAACAAATATGTGAATGTCTTTCACAGAAGATTCTAATATAATTAAGAAGATGTAAAGCTTTACAAAAGTTTACACTTGATTATTATTCAGTGACAATTAGGTGCGAATGATCAATTATATGATTGCATTGTAGTTAATTTATTTATTTCAAACATCTAATTAGTACACAAACAAATAACATGTAAGGGAAGATTTTTTATGAATTTTATTCATTTTAAAGATATATTAATACTAATCTTTTTTGATTTACTTGAATGTGCATGTTTGTTGATCTTTTATATTTCTAATAACATTATATTAGTCATAGAACATGCATACACGTCGTCTTTGACTTATAAAAAGAAAAAGAAGATAAAAAAGAACAATCGACAACACATAATAACTAAATGTTTTTTTTTCTGTTTCGTAGAAATGGTTCTAATCTTTTTCCTCATTGTTCCAACAGAAAATCTTTATTAGAATTTGTATTATTGTTCTGGTATTTTTGTCATATTATTCAGTAACCATTTGTCTCGAGATAAAAATAATTGTAAACTTCCATCATTTTGTAATAATGACTAAAAAAACTAAAATTCTCTTTAGAGATTTTCTGTAAGAACAAATATTTTAAGAACTATTTCTTGCTGATTATGTTTTTGAATTATCAACAATGACCATACTTTAACGTCCTTTTCGTTTGTCGGTAACTGATAAATATCTCTGATGATACCTGTAACACTTTCTGACGTATATATAACAAATATGAAAAAATCAAGTGAAATACTGATAACAGAGAAAACAATGTAAGTGATGATAAAATGAACAATCTCGAAAGAAAACTCTTATACTAAAAAATGGCACATTATTCTCATTCATTTATAAATATTTCTTCTAGAAGTAATTTACATTACAACCAGCAATGGCGAACAACAAATCAACAACATCTATTGAAACCAATACACAAGCTGATGCTAAATACGTATCAAACTTTTCCAAAGATGTAGTTGCAAATCGGCGTATGAACATGCAAAGAATGCAAAATGTCCTCCTCATTTGGTTAGATAACAATATTAATGACAATAATGATGATTGTAGTAATACAATCAAACAATTAAAACGTGTTGTTAACAACATAAACACGTTTACAGATGGTGAACAATGTGTTCACTTTATTCAAACCATTAACAACAACAAAATATGTATGATTATTTCTGGTTCACTGGGAAAACATATTGTGCCTCATGTGCATGATATGCCCCAAGTAGATACCATTTTTATATTTTGTAGCAACCGAGAATGGCATGAACAATGGACTAAAGAATGGCCTAAAATAAAAGGAGTCTTCACAGATATAACATCAATCTGTGGAGCTCTTAAACAAGCTGCTCAACAATGTGAACAAAATGCCACATCAATCAGCTTTGTGGTATTAAACAAGAAACTGGATCAATTAGATCCAACCTTTATGTATACTCAGATCTTGAAAGAGATCTTATTAACCATCAGCTTCGAAGATAAACATTTCAAGGATTTTATTACTTATTGTCGTGAAGTATATGAAGATGATGAAAATGAATTAAAAAAGGTTAATCAATTACAAACAACATACAAAAACAACATACCTATATGGTGGTATACATGGGATGCATTTTTATATCGTATGCTCAATCAAGCATTAAGATCCATGAATGTTGATATAATTATTCGAATGGGTTTCTTTATTAATGATCTACATTGTGATATTCAACGACTACATTCAGAACAATTCGATGGGCATCTGTCAGGTACAACATTTACAGTTTATCGTGGGCAAGGTCTTTCGAAAAAAGATTTCACCAAAATGACAAAAACTAAAGATGGACTTCTTTCATTTAATAACTTTTTATCAACTAGTAAAAGTCGTAACGTTTCTCTTAATTTTGCACAACAAGCTGCTACAAATCCTGATCTTGTTGGAATTCTATTTGTTATATCGATTAATCCTACTCATTCAACAACCCCATTTGCTTCTGTTAGTGATGTTAGTTATTTTCATACAGAAGATGAAGTTCTCTTTTCTATGCATACCATTTTCCGCATTGGAGATATTGAACCAATGGATGGAAATAATCATCTTTATCAAGTGAACCTAACATTGACCAAAGACAACGATCGAGACCTTCGTACTCTTACTGATAGTATCCGAGAAGAGACCTTTCCACATGTCGAAGGATGGGAGAGATTAGGATTATTGCTAATTAAAACGGGTCAGTCTAACAAGGCTCAGGAAGTTTATGAAATTTTACTTCATCAAACAACAGACCAAAGTGGCAAGGCACCTATTTATATTCAACTAGGTTCGATCAGAGATGATCAAGGAGAATATCAAGAAGCACTTACATATTATGAAAAAGCCCTTGTAATTTAACAACAATCACTTCCTTCCAATCATCCTCATTTGGCTTCTTCCTACATGGGCATCGGTAATGTATATAAAAACATGGGTGATTCTCCAAAAGCACTTTCTTATTATGAAAAAGCCCTTGCGATTCAACAACAATCACTTCATTCTAATCATTCCGATTTGGGTAACTCCTATATTAGCATCGGTTTAGTGTATGACAGCATGCGTGATTATCGTAAAGCACTTTCTTATTATGAAAAAGCGCTTGCGATTCAACAACAATCACTTCCTTCCAATCATCCCGATTTGGGTATGTCCTATAAAACATCAGTTTGGTGTATGAGAATATAAGCAACTATTCAAAAGCTCATTCATTCTATAAACGTGCTATACAAATTGGACAACAATCATTACCAACAAATCATCCTAATCTTCAACAATGGAGAAGAAACCTCGAAATCGTAAAAAAGAAACTATAATTTCTTTCTGTATTTTTTTTGAAAGTAAAATAAAACTAATGGAAAAGAAAATCTGTCTCTATTGAAACTCTGTTCTTATTGAGAACACAATATGAGCAGTAACAATCACCGATAAGGTAAACAATACATATTGAAAAGATGTATTCTAGAAAAGACCTTTGGGGTTACATTAATATGTATGAACAAATAGAGTTTCGTTGTATTAAATAAAAAAGAAAGATACTCAACAACAGAAACATAGAAGAATAGAAGAAAAGAAAAAGTTTATTTTATCAATAAAATGAATTATTCTTTCTGTTTCAATATTAAAGAATAGTTCAAACCATTGTATCTATGAACGGAAAAAGATTTCATTTGAATGAATTGAAAAGGAAAAAAGAAAAATATAGAAAAGAACAATAACAAATTTATGGACTGAAAAGAGTGAATGTAACTCTGAGAGAGAATCAAGCGGAACTTTTTGATTACGATTATATCTGAATGGATTTTCAACTACAAAACATCGTAGAGAAATTTTCAAACATATTCAGGGAATAAAAAAATTTCATTTAAATGACAATTTCGACTAGTTTTCTCCGAAATAATAACATGACTCTGATTATTTTACGTAGATGAAAATCCTCATTTGTTGTTTCTAAAGAAGAATTCAATAATAAATTAGCTATTTATGAATTAGTTAGCAATTATATAGCTCGTTAGTTCATGATGATTTGAAAACTGATAAATGGCTGTAAGCTCGCTCAATTTGATTATGAATAATAGATTTGATTAAACTTCGAGATGTTTAGTATTTCATAATGAAAGAAAGAGAGTTATGTACTTCTAAACTTTAGTTGTTTCAATGCAAGTTTTTATAAGTTTCTAATAGAATGAATTGTAACTGTAAAAAACAGACTTGAAAAGCGACGAACTAAGTTTTGAAAACTTAATTATACTCTAAATATGTAAATACATAGATGGACTTTTATCTTCAAGAGAAAATTCTTTCTACGCTTCCCATTGAACCATTCATGATGGTATAGATGTTGGTTGAAAAATCTCATTCGCGTTATTTTTGGTTAATCAAAAATCAAGTCATAAATATTTCAGTGATTTCTACTTGACTGATTAGAATTATTCCGAATGGTACAATTCCAATTGGCTTCAACTTTCTTCCATTAATTTGATTTATATATTTGTCTAATACAAGTTTTCTCGTACAAAAAGTCTCATAAATACTAATAACATCAAACCTAAAGAACTTATCGTATTCTCATCATATTGGTTACATCAATACGTCCACCTGATATTTATTACAAATCATTCGAATCTTTCTAAAATATTCAATTGTCAAATAGACTAGACTATTCATTCTTCTATTTCCATAAACACGTGAATTTATCTTGCATTCTTCTTCTAATAGACCTCGATATATATATATATAGGCATTTTCTTTTCTTTCGTTTATCATAACAATTCGTATCTTATTTTCGATTTATGATTCTACAACTTGATGTATGAAAGTAAGTTTATATACAAATATCATTTAATTATTGTATCAATATATGATTTTGTTTTATAGATACCGATATTTCGACATCATCACCTTCTCGAATTGCATATCAATATGAAACAATTGCTTCACCCGTACGATCGTTTTATGAAAATAATACACAACAACCTACTTATATATCATTTGAATCGATTCCACATTCAATTTCAAAAGAAATCTCATTAACACCACCATTTCAAAAGAAATTACCGATTATCCCAGTGGCTATTTTAGGTTTTTTAGAAATATTTGGTGGATTGATTGTTCTTGTACTTGAAATACTTGTTTTCGATATTGCTGTTGGAATTTGGTGTGGATTGGTTTATGCACTTGCTGGATTGGCTACTATTGTACTTGGTTAGAGAATTTTAAAAAGAAAATCTCATTCTTATATCTATTTTATTAGTGATTTGTACGGATCGTGAACGTCATCAAACATCAGCTGTTTTGATATTTCAAATTGTTGGTAATTATAAACAAACAAAAATTGTTTTGTATCGTTTAAATTAACTTATCTTGTATTTTAGCATTAATGTTTACGATTACGGAAATCTTATTACATATTGATTTTTATCAAAAACGTTGTGTAACAAAACCAGATCAACCATCACGTGAAGCATCATATCAATGTCAAATTTTACTTAGTCAAATAGGTGGTGCTGCAATTGTTCTTATTAGTAGTCTTATATTTTCGATAATATATTTTCGAGTAACAATTATCGTACTTAAACAACCACATGGAACTTTTAATATATCGAATGCAATGAATTTAACTTGTTAAATTTTGATTTTGTTCTCTCATGTAAATATATCTATATGTATGTGTGTGTGTGTGTAAGAATTATCTAATTTAGAAAAAGAAAAATACTATATATGTTTCATAGAAATATAGTTTTTCGATTAAAACTTAAACCAACATTGAATATCTATTATTTTTCAAACATAAAGAATGATATTCTACTGGTTTCTGTTCTTCGCATATTCAGCTATGTCTGTAATATAGCAATAGATAAGGAATTACTTTTAATTATAAGACAGGTTGTTCTATTATCTGTTGACAAACTACAGTCAGTATCCATAAAAATATAATAACCACTATAAGTTTCGTTGTTTTATCTAAATCAGAACAATGATTTCTGTTGTGTTCTATCGATTGTTGCAAGGGGGAAAAGGGGGATCCCGTCTATCCGGGATACGATCACAATCCATAGAATCCGTAGGATACAATGGGGATCCAGAGGATACAATGAGGATCTAGGGGATCCATTGGGGATACATAAGATCTATTGGGGATACGGAGGATCCTGGGATCCCACAATCCGCTCTTTCCCCCTTGGGACTATTGAGTAATCGTGTGGAGATAAGAGTTTATAAGTCAAAAAAACATTGAAAATAAATTTTTCACGTTTTTTATATGTTTTTCAGTAAACGTGAAGAAAATGGATTTCTACGAGAAAGAGCTAAGCAAGTCCTCGGACGAGCGTTACTTGTTTATTTAATGAGACTCTTTTAACCGATGAAATATATTTAATATTTTTATTATACATTACCGTATAATAAAAAAATCAAACAGATTAATATTAATATTCAAATTTACTTTATATATTTGGGTGTCAATATACATGATTTTTCTTACAATATAATACAAATGTATCTTTGTAATCTTATGTATCAAATTATTATTTATTTTATTTGAATTATTTACTTAATTCCGAAAAATATAATTGATTGAAGTCTATGTCACATTATCTATTATTATTTTTCATAAATTAACTGAAAAGAAAATCAAATGATACACGTTATACCTTGAATAGATTTATCTGTTACTATTGTTTCTTTTTTAATGATTAGTTTTTAATATAGAAGAATGCTCTAAGAAAAAAGCAGTGCTAAATTCATTTCTTCACGAAATTATATACTCAATATTCAAGATTTCGTATATGCTACTATAAAGTTGATCGTTACTCACAAGAATCCTATTGGCTATCAAATAGTTCTACTCTTCTTTAATATGAAATTGAATTTATTTGAGTTATTAACTGAAATCAAATGGGATTAAAAAGAACATTTGCTTAAGAATCAAAAGCTACACTACAGAGTTCAATGGCATATATTTTTATAACAAACAAAAAAAAGGTATTTAAAAATGGTTTTTTATAAGAAAAACATTCAACAAGCACCGGAAGGTTGATTAACTATGAACCATCTCTTACAATATTTCGATTGATATAGCCTTTCTTCACTGCATCACTTATCGTTAACGAGATTATTAATATTTACAGTTGCTTGTTCATTGATATTTGGTTTCACGTTCTGCATTTCATCTTTCAATAATGTCATTGACTCTAAAAGCCAAAATATACATTTTATTATTGTTTCTCTTCAAAATAATAAAACTTCTCCTAAATACCCTTTGAATTTTGACTTAATTCATAATCTGACTGTGTTCTATTTCCATTTTTATTAGTATCTGGAAAAATACATAATGTCAATACCAATAAAATAATATTGAATATAATCATAGCAATAAATGAACTCATAGGAATTCTATCAATATGGTGTTCTAAACATATTGATATAGTTCCAGCTGTAAAACCAATGAGCTCTGTTAGAACCGTAAGAGAACTAAAACCAACAGCAGATC